TTTTTCTTCGTTAAAAAGAAGGACGGAAAGCTACGCCCAGTCCAGGACTATCGTAAGCTTAACGAGATGACGATTAAAAATCGATACCCATTACCTCTCATTGGTGAACCCATGGACCGACTGAAGGAGGCCAAGTACTTCACCAAGCTAGACGTACGGTGGGGATACAATAATGTCCGGATAAAACAAGGGGACGAGTGGAAAGCCGCTTTTCGAACCAATCGTGGCCTTTACGAACCCCTCGTGATGTTCTTTGGACTCACCAATTCGCCCGCCACTTTCCAGTGGATGATGAACGACATCTTTAAGGATCTCATCACCGCGGGGGAGGTGTCCGTCTACCTCGACGACATACTCATTGCGTCAAAGGACAAAAAGGACCACAAACGTATCGTACGAGCGGTACTCCAAATCCTACGCGAGCACAAACTATTCCTTAAAGCGGAGAAGTGCGAGTTTGAAGTAGAAGAAACGGAGTACCTGGGTGTGCTCATCAGCGAGGGAAAGATTCACATGGACCCCGTCAAGATCGTGGGCCTGTTGGACTGGCCTGTCCCAACAAAGAAGCAGGAGCTACAATCATTTTTAGGCTTTTGCAACTTTTACCGGTGGTTTATCCGTGACTATAGCAAGCACGTCAAGCCCCTCACGACCCTCACAGGGAAGGTGGAGTGGAAGTGGGGGGAAGCTCAGCAAAAAGCCTTCGAGAAGGTCAAGGAGTTGTTCCGTGAAGACGTGGTACTGGCCATTCCGCTGGATGAAGGGAGGTTCCGGGTGGAGGCCGATTCCAGTGAGGGGGCAATCGGTGCGGTATTATCTCAATGGCAGGAAGAGAAGTGGCGACTGGTGGCCTTTCTCTCCAAGGCATTATCGGTCACCGAATGCAATTATGAAATCTATGACAAGGAGCTCCTTGCCATCATGGTTGCGCTGGAGGAGTGGCGGCAATACCTCATGGGCGCCCGAGCAGATTTCGAGATCTGGACGGACCACTCCAACCTCCAGTACTTTCGAAAGCCCCAAAAACTTAATCGACGACAAGCCCGGTGGGTGATGGAACTAGCCGAATACCAGTTCACCCTACACCATAAGCCTGGAGCTCAAAATTGTAAGGCTGACTTACTATCCCGACGAGCAGATCACGATCAGGGGAAGGATGACAATAAAGACGTGATCATCTTGAAGCCGGCCCATTTCCGAGCCCTCATCATGCCCACCATGGAGGAGCTGCATGAAAAGGTTAGATTAGCCACTCATGACCCCCGCAAGTGGGACTGGGGCATCTCGGATTCCCTTAACCACGAAAAGGGGATCTCCTGAGACCAGAGTCTACTGTGGTATGATGGACGCGTCTATGTACCCCGGGATAAGCGACTCCGAGGCGAAATCATCGCCCTAAGCCACGATCATGTAACGGCGGGTCACCCGGGGATAGAAAAGACAAAAGAGCTCATCTTACGAGACTACTGGTGGCCTCGAATGCATTCGGAGGTAGAAACCTATGTGAAAGGGTGTGAAGTTTGCCAACGAACTAAGGCGGATCGACGTCCCAAGAAAGCACCCCTTCACCCCAATGAGATCCCCGACCGACCATGGACACACATTTCGGTCGACATGATTACCAAGCTCCTGGACTCGAGGGGAAACGATTCCATTCTCGTCCTGGTCGACAGATTCTCAAAAACCATTATACCCATTGCCTGCACCGAGGAACTGTCATCCTTAGGATTTGCCAAGATCCTCCGAGACTACATCTACGTGCCCTACGGCGTAATGCCTGAGAAAATCATCTCGGACCGGGGATCTGCCTTCGTATCGAAGTTCATGAAGGAATTCTACGCCCTCATTCAGGTAACAGGAAATCCCTCAACCACTTATCATCCTCAAACGGACGGGCAGACGGAGTGGGTTAATCAGGAAATTGAAAAGTATCTCAAGATGTTCATCAGCTATCGCCAAGACAATTGGAGCGAATGGTTACCGCTTGCCGCCTTCACCCACAATAACTGCAAACATTCCGCTACAGGCTTCTCTCCATACAAAGTGGTCTTCGGGCATGATGGGCAAGTCATTAAAACTGCCCAACGCCAAAATACCGTACCCGCTGCGTCCAAACTGGTTCAAGGAATCCAGGAGGTGCAAGAAAAAGCGAGGGAATCACTGGAACGAGCGGCTGCGTCAATGAAGAAGGCTTACGACAAGCATAAAGGAAAAGCGTTGGATTACCAAGTCGGCGATAGGGTATGGCTGGATTCCACTAACCTGAACCTCCCTCGCCCAACAAAGAAGTTAGGGGATAGACGAGTAGGACCGTTCGTCATCGTTGCAAAGAAGGGGGCCTCAGCCTATGAGTTGCAACTCCCTGCAAGGTGGCGCATCCACAATCGATTCAATGAGTCCTTATTGACTCCCTATCACACCCCCGAATTCTCAAACCAACCACATCCCGAGCGACCACCTCCAGAGTTGATTGACGATGAGGAGGAATATGAGGTTGAAGAGATTGTAGAAGAAAGAGACCGTATCGTTGGCCGCGGGCGAACCCGTCGCACCATCACCGAGTACTTGGTGAAATGGAAAGGATATCCAATAGAAGAGAACTCGTGGGTCAAGCGTTCGAATATGGTGAACGCTGAGGAACTCGTGAACGATTACGAGATGCGTACTCGAAAGATGTTGTGGACGGTCGATAAAAAGGGAAAGACAGTCGGTAGAGACGACAAAATACCCAGGAACCTCCCGATCCACTACCATGACCCAGACACGCCATGCATCACCGATGTCGAAACTGTGTACTCCTCGCAATGCTCGAACCCAAAGCATTCAGATACCCAACAAGACTCTTACCCCTCTTCGGAAATTATCGATAACGTAGATATCCCCAGATCACCGGAAGTGAGCCACAAACTCGATGAATGGCTCGAAATACTATCCAAGGCAAAGGGGGGAGACTCTCGTCCCTATCAACCCCAAAGTCAGAAGGAAAACAGCATCAGCAACCTTCACTCCAAACAGCTTACAGACGACGGGGAAGATGCGAATGAAGGGGAACTCAATATCCAAAACCTCGAGCGGGTACATGAAAACTGGAACTCTGACACAGACGACGACAACGATAATGATAGCGATAGCGCATCATTCTATTCAGAGTCCATCCATTCCTCCGACAGTGACACGGGAGAGGGAAGTGAATCATTCGGGACGAATGAGTCTTAGGGAGGGGGTAATGTTATGATTTATTCATTTCTTTTTCGTTTTACTCAGCATGATTACTCATATGCGATCCCTGCAGATCATTTCCCACAGTACTATTATTAGCGTACTCACTTGTATTTAAGTAGAGCCTTCGCTGGTCTAAACCCCAGCTTCGGCTAAGGTTTAATCTACCTAATCTCGAACTCCGTCCTTCGTGACTATTTGTCCCATCAACTTTCATCGCCTTTGACTTGCTAAAGCGTCATCTACCGAAGTGCGAGTAGCGACCTTAGTACGATCTAAGTCGATAGAGTTAGTGGCTAACAATCATACTGGGCATTACCAAACACTCTTGACTCATATCCTTCCATAGGATGGTTTCTGTGGTCCTCGCTGCACCGAGTAGCTGTAAATCGTGCTGTTGAAGAGCTGGAACAAGCCTACGTCCATTGAATAGATAACATCAATCAATTCCATTCATTCAACGACGCCACAAAGCTATCCCCGAAGTGAGGATTTTACTGTCTAAACTTCATTCTTTTGCTCACAGCTTTTGCGGGAATTCATGAACGCGGCTGTACACAGCACGCATTCAATACCAATGATGAAGGGAAGCCATCATCTCTTGCGCATGCTCTCTACAGCTTGGAACATCAATTCTCTAATCCTGTGTCATCCATTGGAACAGATGCACCTAGAATGCTTCTTTGCACATGCTGCGGCCACGTTCACTCATAGCCCTCACACAGGTTTCGATTCTTTGTTCTGCTAAGAAAGTCATTAGTTCTACAATTCAATCATTTCTTTGTTCTCATTGCATTGCATCAGGAAATCTGTGAAATAGTAGGCACCATCATTCATTCACACAGCCAATGAACACCACTGTGGGGCCAGTATCTTCACAAAGACTATGCAGAGGCTCTGAAGGCTCGCAATGCACTGCCTTAAACCCTTCTCTCCTACAGACAAGATGCATATGTCTGAGGTATGGGAGGGATGGACCCACGTGGCATGTTTATAATCACACGTCATGGGCGCTTAAATAAGTAGTTAAATAAGTTTTGTGAGAGCTTCTCGACGCCACTTTGATGAAGTGTATGGGATTAAGGTCATCCTCGGGGTTCCTGAGAGCATGTGTGTAAAATCCTCCGTAGTGTAACAATTCCTATATGATGATATGATGAACTCTGCATCTCATTTGGTCAGTACAAGTTTATTTAGTGAACTTGAGGAGGAGAGCCAACCCACATGCATGATCTGCGGAACATTATTCTGATTGAATTTATTTTTCATATCTGAACACAGAGGACAATCGATGCTGTGAAGAAATGCCTGTCAAAGTGAAGTAAATGGTTCGACCTTGAGCTTGAGGCCATGTTGACTGTGGAGATTCGAGAACTCGGAGTTAAGTTTGGAGCCTGGTAAAATTAGAATGTCCAAAGTGGTAGTTCCACGTGTGAGACCACTCCTTTGTGGTGAAGTTCGAGTTAGAGTCCAGGACCATGTCCCCAGTCAGAGTGCTTATACCCTTCTTGTCACGTGATTTACATTCCTGCTACCTTGGTAGTGGGTCTCTGGAAAACGCTAATGGCACTACTTTTTGCGGTAGATTCTGTGAATCTAATTGAGTTCCACTGCCTCCTGAGTCATCTGTTTGCAGTGGAGTATTTTATAGTCATGTGTACCTTTCTTTCTGTTTGTATTAATAGTCTGATTTTGCACGTGAACTCTTGTATTCTTGTGTGGTGAAACTTTTTATTTTCTCGTCTGGAAGATGTCTGTTCTATTCACATATTCGTACTGCCATGATTCCCGCTACTTGCACTGTGGACGGAGTTACACTCACGTTTTCCATTTCTCTCGAACACACATGCTCGGTGTCGACATCACGTTCGGGCCCATCTACGATATTGTTTGTAACATCACGGGGCGCATTTCGTACTCGTGTTGCATTGGCAAAGGACGACAGTATTCCGGTGGACATTCGTTTAGGTCTGGACTGGTTATTGTCCCTTTTGGATACAGATGCTGGTGAGTATGTGTCTTTGGTTCTCACTTGTTCGCTCTATCTGTGGGTTTTTAGGTACTGTTCCCAGTGAATTTGAATGTCTCCATACGGTGTATCGATTATTCTTCCAGCCACAGTCACCGCATTTCTTTTACCACCTCCCTTATACGACAATTCTATACGAATTAGCAGGACACGGCCTCCTACAGAAGACATCTTGTAAGTCGGAGCACCTGTTCCTAGACTTACTCGTCGAGCATTTTTTGGCGGGCATGTGTATGTCCAACAATGGTCCATTCTGCTGATCCTATGTCTATGCTTGTCACAAAGGCAGGGTTCGACCGCCTGTCTTCTTTCTGGCAGCCTTGCAGTATACCAGAGTTCTTTGTATTATGCCTCCTCTTGCTCTCAAACCCTTTTGGCATTTTCTTACACTATCAACGATTTACAACAAGCAAGAACGTACATTGCAAGCCTTGTCCAACTGACTGTCACTCATTCGCTATCTGCCTTATAAAGGTGATATCACATATATGGCAGCCTTGTTCGATGGGGCATTTGAGACATTACGATGGGACGAGTTGTTGACTATGATGACTGCTCATGGAATGGCATTGAGTACTATTAATTTGACCATGGAGGATATCAAGGAGGCACTTTCGGATCATGTTTTCGGAGGATTGTGTGCTGATGCTCTTCGTTTGCCCGTTGCACAGATACCAGTGGGATGCTTGGATTGTTTACAGGAATTTGCTTTTTCAGATCGCGTCAGGGGGTGCAACGTCCGGTGGTTGTCTTAGATCCTGTTTGTTGTAGTCAAGTGCACAATGTGATCGGCCTTTATATGTTTGGAATCCTTCAAGGTGCTTCCTGCATCTTCTCCATGACGTCCCCTTTTACCTCTATCTCTTTGGAAGGTATACTTGTACATGCTTTCTTCAGTGATGATGATTATTCCTTCGTCTCTCATGCTTGGTTAGGGCAGCATGGCAGGCATGTTGATATTGATCATAATTTGCTCGTTCAATGTGTTGGTGATCAGCACTCGATTGCTTTCATTGCCTGCTTTATACCTGCTGATATGGCTGGCTTTGACGTTTATTTTGGTCAAGATGCTCTGGCTTACCATCGTGAAGCAAGTGCACAATTACTATCTGAAAACGGTATGTGTTTTCGTACGCCTTATTTCTGCTCGTATTCTGACATGCTTTGTATTTTAGTACAGGAAGTAACACACGATGCTACAGGCACAGTCGACCTTATGTATTGTCGTGCTGACTTTTTCGAGCAACTTGGTATGTAATTCGTGTGTCCTTTGCTTCTCAGCTTACCTTTCATCAGATCAGGACTATCCGACTGAGGTGTCGTCTGTATGTCAATGTAAAAAGGGCAAATGTAAGAAGGGCAAATGCACGTCTGCTTCCTACATGACCCCTTCAATGCATTCACCCGTTATGACTGCACTTAATGTACATAATCAGGACGTCTCCGTCTCGGGCGCTGATGTTCGTTCAAGTCCCTTTGCTTTGGGCAAGGGCGCTCATTGTCACATAGACAGTGGGCATTTTGCCTCGGGCACATATAACTATGGAAGTCCCTTTGCTTTGGGCAAGGGCATTCATTCTGATACAGAAACCGAGTATTTGTTATCGAACCCCTGCAACAATGCCGTACCTTTTTCTTCCATGGAGGAAGGCTCTGGTCCTACCGGTGAAGATCATTACATTTCCTTTGTTGCTCAATCCTCATCTTCAGAGCAGGGTATGTCCTTCGCCTTGTCTGTTTTACATGGTATGCTTTTCGGGAGAACCCTCACTGGCATGCACACTCTCGTTTTTACTTCCGATATTGATTGTCTTGTATATAGTGCTCGTTTGCATGGACTAACTATGTCTGATGATTGTAGTGTTGAAGATTTTCAGCGAGCTTTGCTTGCACATATGTTGCTTGGTCAGTGTTTTAGTCGCCGTGGTATTGAGACTGTTCACGCTCAGGGTGGTGCTATGGACGTCTCGACTTGTATAAATATAGCAGCTGGTTTTTCTTCCGCTGAATCATTAAGCCATGCGATGCTCGATTATGTTATTTCATACTCAGAACGTACTGCACATCTTACCATTCCTAAGCTCCGAATATTGACCTCTTCTTTAGGCTTGGATGCTAAGTTGCCTTCCTGTCCTTCCCATCAGGACTATCTGGCATCTCTTCAAGGTTTGTATGACCTGGCTGTATCTAATAATATCGTTGATTGCTGCCTGCCTGTTATGCCTCATGAAAGCTTACTGGTGATCACACAATGTCACAGACTCAATGTAACAAATTGTCGCAGTTTGCAGAGTCTCCGAATGACATTATATGAGCATTTGAGATCCTCATGTTGTCGAGGTGAACACGTGTCATCTGATGTTCTATTTAACGTCTCCGATGGGTCGTCTGGAGTGGATCATTTGCTTAATGGCCATCTGCGGTCTGTGGAGGAAGAGAGGAGAGACGTCATGTTAAGTGGTATGAAAAATGCTGTAAATACGTTATCTTTGAAGGCGTGCCGATGTTTCATGAGAATGCATGGTTTTTCTTTGCCTACAGATACTGGAAAGACTTCATCCTCCAAATCTCCTGGAGTGAAGCAGCATCGTAAGTGTATTCAGCACAACTTGGAGAGTATTCTCAAGCGAAAAAGCTGGAGGACTATATCAATATGCGGACACAACGCCATATTGATGCGAGAGAGGAGAATCTCTCTTATTTTCAGTCCAGGCTGGACTATCTCCGTAGCACTTGGCCTTCTGTTCCATCCCAATCCTTTAAAGATCAACTCGTGCAAAATTTCATGGAAGAGACTGGTTCAGAAGCCCTTAAGAAGTTTACTTGTGCTTTATGTTCTGGTCGGTATTGGATTAAAGATCGTCGTGAGAGGAAAGTGGCTGACATGAATGTCGAATGCCTCAGGTTGTTACCTAGCAACAATGGGGATGTTCTTGTCTGGCCTGGAACCAATGTTCCCTTACCGTATGCGACTGGCCCGCTTGTGGGTATGCAAGTAGATCCGTCTGGCGTTTTGAATGATGTCAGTGCTAATCCGACTCTGTTGTTATGTAAATCCTGCTCGCATGAAGCCAATAGCCGAAAGGTACCTCGGTTATCTTTAGCTAATGGTACTTACTTGGGTCCTGTACCTCCCGAGTTAGAAAAGTTGACTGTCATTGAAGAGAGTATGATCGCCCTGTGCCGTGCTAAGTGTATGATATTGCAGCTTAAAGAGGAGAGTGGGACTGTTAACCTGCCCACTACGCAATGAGGTCTGAAAGGAAATGTTATTGTGTATCCACAGCGTCCTTCTGAGATAACGAGAATGTTACCACCATCTATTGAAGAGATTACTTCTCTGATCTGTATTCTTTTTGTAGGTTCTCATGTCCCTACCCAGGACTGGTTGAAGAATCATGCAAAACCTCTCACAGTCAACGGGGGGCATGTACGAAGAGCCTTGATATGGTTGAAAGCCAACAATCCACATTACCACGACATTCAGTTGAACGAACCCATACTAGATTATTTGGATTTGAATCCCACCTTGCCATTCACCGTTCAGCACATTCCATTGTCTACATCTTCAGAGACACTTACTGATCGTTACGAACCGCCCAAACATTCCACCTGACTGCAACATAATGACCCTGTATTAACACCCGAGAATATACCTTGGGATAGCATTGTAATTACCAATGTTTACAACAATGTTTCTTCTAACAGATTGAAGGCTGCCGCGTTGTCTCACGTTAAATCCAATGGCGGTGGGTACATCGAAGTCTGTCATGACCCTTTGCCTGTCAACGAATTTAATAATCCTGCTCTTTTTCCGCTCATGTATCCTACTTTTGTTACGGTTTATTCATTTTTCTTCGTTTTACTCAGCCTGATTACTCATATGCGATCACAACGGACACATTCCCACAGTACTATTATTAGCGTACCCATTTGTATTTAAGTAGAGCCTCAGCTGGCCTAAACCCCAGCTTCGGCTAAGGTTTAATCTACCTAACATCGAACTCCGTTCTTCGTGACTATCTGTCCCATCGACTTTCATCACCTTTGACTTGCTAGAGTATCATCTACCGAAGTGTGAGTAGCGATCCTAGTATGATCTAAGTCGATAGAGTTAGTGGCTAACATTTAGCCGAAGCTCGTCCTTCGTTGCCCAACAACTCACTGTTGCCCAACATATTTTCCATTATCCTTTCAATCATCGTCGCACTCTCCGTGCTGTGATTTCTTCTTAACGACCCACTCGGACTGGTCATAGTGACCATCCTCCGAGTTTTCCTTGCTTGCGTATACATCCCGTCTCCAGTGTTTGCAGGACTCCTCCTGTTGCTCTGGGTCGGATTTCTATGCCATCATTAAAAACACGAAACCCTTCATCCTCGCCATCCAGCTCGCCTCCATATTAACAATCCTATTGTTGATATTGACGAGTACCTCCGAAAATTGCAAAATCCTGCTGATGAATGGCTCCAACTACGAGACCGACCTCAGTTTGATTATTGCGATCCTCATCGTCCTGACCATACTCGCTGTCTATCAACTTGCATGGTCAATCGTCGACTTACACCGAGAGTAGATCCACTTACGGATGCCCTGGTCCGAATCCATTCTCGCCGTCTTCGCGACTTTCATACTCTTTTTCTTGTCCATTACTTTGTACCAACTGCACCGCTGTTTTCGACAACGGAGACAAGTCCACGCTCAACTCCCATTTCATTACGTTCCCAGCACTCTGGCGTACCCCCCGCCGATAATCGATATCCCCGCGGCATCCCAACAAACGATAGGAGATGTCGAATCCAACACCTCCGGGGAACCTGGAGGATCCCTCTACACATCATCGCGACCCAGCTCGCGATACTCAGAGTCGAGCACCAACTCCTACAGAAGCGCTTCCAGCGCAGCAGTCGACTCAGTCGACATCACCGATACCAGGAGCGTACTCCTCGACTGAGGAGACTCGCCCTTACCAGGTCTCTTCGACCAGTCTCCAGTCCAAGGCGAGCCAAGTACCGACAGAAGCAGAGGACAAGGCACCAGGCCTCTGGACGAGGGCGAAGAAAGCCCTGACACCGAGTACGAAGGGGATGACCTCTCCGACTGGGAGAGGACCAGACTCGACGACCTCTACCCGGATGAGGAGGAAAATGTGACCTATACCGGAGACAGTGGCCGGTCAGGAAATAGGTGGACAGATGCCATTTGGAGAAGTGAGAGCAGGAGATACCGGGTTGCCCAGGAGGACGACTACGACAGCAATTCCGGAGAGCTTAGCCTCGGAGCCTCCGCGGCTACCACCAGTGCAGCTGTCGCACAGCCTCTTCCAAGGTCCTGGCTGACCAATAGGGGAAGACCAGTCGCTTGGCACCCCGCCACCAGTTGGGTCCATGCAGATGACGGGGAAGAGGCTGTTATGGCCAGAGTCACGCCCCGAGGAGAGTTCAACCAGGGCTCTGAGGGCTCCGAGACCCCAGCGGTCACTCCCACCGTCTCCTCGCACGAGCCGATGAGTGGGGAGCTTTGGGGCGAGTTCCCAGACTTCGACGCCGAGGAACTTGGAACAATTACCGTTTCTGAGTGACTCGCCGGAGTCTCCAACTGGGAACCATCCGTCAAGTTGAGAGCCTTCGCCGACCCCGTACCGGCCTCTCAGCGTCCATGGCCCCTCCTCTATCACACGTACGTCGAGTCCCTCCGACTCCCTCGAGATGCCCGGCTCGCCCCAGAAGTCGAGGCCCGAATGGAGCGAGGAAGAGCGCATGACGCACGCATTCGGCGTGCCGAAGAGGATGCTCTCCAGGGACCTGGAGGCTGGTGGGATCTACCCCTCGAGCCCGACGCCACCGACGCCGAAGTCGAAAATCGAATCTGCGCTGCCGCTGTCCGATACGCAGGGGCGGCCTGAAGAGCAGGTACCGACCTCGAGGCAAGAAGAAGAGCCTGGAATTCCTACCAGGCCGAGATCACTGACGAGGACTCAGACATCGGCAGGTGGAGAAGGAACAAGGAGCTCGACCGCATCGCCCGAGAGAGGAAGGAGGCCGAGGATGCCGAGTCGACCTCCAAACGAGGCCCTCGAACCAACGGTGATGGCAGCGGTGAGGCAGGTCCTTCTTAGAGGACCTGTGCCCCGGCCCGCCATCTTCGACCTGCTCCCCTGGCACGGGCTGTATGAAATCATTATGGAAGACATGGAGAAGGACCCACAGTGGATGTTCACAGAAGCAGGAGAAGACTATCGAAGCGCGAAGAGCATGGGGGACGTCTACCTCATGAAAAATATCCTCGAAGTGGAAACCTGGCACCGGGCGTCCCTGGTATGGAACACAGTAAACCCCGAGGTGCCGCAACCCGGGTGCGAACCCTATCGTCGGCCTCAGCCGATGCCTAATCCGCTCGAAACCGAAGAGTTTTGGGCAGGTGCAGGGCCCGACGATGATGACATGGACGACCCGGGTGCGGGGCCCTCGGACAAAGGCAAACAATCCACTGTCCCGCCACAGCCGCCATCGCAACCACCACGCCGACCCACGTACCCGGGCGACTACCCTCCGCCTGGGGAAAATTATCGATTACGGTCGCTGCCCCGACCGCCAAACCCTCCAGTGCTGCCCAGGGCGCCTTCCCCGCCGGACCCCATACCGCCATGGACACTGGCGACGGGGAAGGACAGCAATCCCTGGAACGACGTCAAGCCCAAGTTAATCACGCAGCCCGAGTACTTTACGGGGGAATCCACAGATATCACTCGATTCCTACACCACTGCGAGATGTACTTTCAGGTCTTTCCCCTCCACTTCACCATGAACAACCAGGGACAGAACCCTTATCGCATTACGTTCGCGCAAGGTTACCTGCAGGAAAAGGCCAAGGAATGGTGGGGCGATCAGTATTATCGCTACCGGGACGATCGGGGGCATTGGAGGTTCCCCACGTGGGATGAGTTCTCTCATGACCTCACAGTGGAGTTCAGGGAAGTCGCGGAGCTCGCAATATGGAAGGCGGAATGGAAGAAGGTGCGACAGTCGGAGTTCAAGACCGCAGTCGAGTTCTGAGCCAAATTCGAACGATTGGCTCACAAGTGTGGGGAGTTTGGCGACGAGAAGCAGATGTTTGAAGCGGTGGAAGTGGCGATTAGGCCGACAGTGCGCAAAACGGTTATGCATGGGGACAATGAGCGCCCCACAACCTATGCACAATGGAAGGCGCGAGTCCTAAGGATCGACGCCAACTATCGATACAACGTGGCCCAGGGCCTCGCCAGTAAGACCTCCCCGAACCAAGGCGGTTCAGGTCGAGGCAACCAAAATCAGTCAAAGGGGACAGGTTCCAGCGGCGATAAGAAGGACACCACAGGAACCACGTATGGAGGAGCCGGGCAGCCGATGGAAATCGACAAGCTACGGTCCGACAAGCGGTGCTTCAAGTGTGGGAACACCGGATGGAACCCCAAACATAAATGCCCTGATGACAAATCGAAGTGGCTCCCCGTCAAACTCCCACCTTGCAAAAAACCCAACGTCGCCCGACTTCGTCAACTACTCGCTGAGGCCGAGAAGGAAGAGTTAGGAAAAGATACCAAGGTCGAGGAGGTAAAGGAGGAGAAGTCGTCAAAAGACGAGCCGGTGTCGAAATAAGCGATTCGACGGCGTCGGCTAAGGACTCAGTTTCCAGTGGTGTGCGCTCCTGTATTATTAGTCGGACTTATACTATGTATGTAGGTACTCCCTATGAACAATATACCAACTTTTTCGCCGCGTTACCTGTGGAGGAGACTGAGAACGAAGAATCGCAAACCGCCAATGGCGTAGGAGGGGATTTCCGCCGTCCTACGCAGTCAGCGATGGACAATGAACCCCTAGGGGCTGGTCCACCTCTGACACCCCCGCCTGACCGAATGAGGAAAGTTCTGGAGCACCCAGCGAGCACCTCAGGTCAGGACAAGATGGACGCCAGACGTGGTGGTCGTCGCCCCGGCAGGGAGAATCGGCCGACGACTCCGACGGGTGGGCCTTCCTGTCCATATGTAGGCCAGGTTGTTCCTCCCGTTAGTGGTGGAAAAGCAGCTGAGGCCGGGATTCGAGGGGACCACCTACATTTAGTAGTGGACTCATCCGCAAACGATGCTGACCCTCTCGAGGAGCCAATATGTGTGCGTCTGCCTCGGGTTTCTGAGAGTACTGCCGGCGTTAGGAATGAGGTTAAGTACGGACTTACCGTGGAGGTTACAACGCCGCGCGCAAGCGCCCTTGGCCAGGGCCGAACACAGGGCAGCGAGCCCTCCTCCACCAACTCGTCGGAAGGTGACCAAATGCCGCCGAGGGGCCTTACCGACCGGCCCGGTGACCAACTGCCACGCACAAGTACGACTCCCCGAGTTTCTGTAGAGGAAGTCGAAGACGAGGAAGCGTATCTACGATCCAACATACCGACCGTCGAACCGAAAGGGAAGTCTCCAGTGACCCCTGAATCCACGCCAAAGGACGAGGCTCGGAAGCCCGTTCTGGACACGTACTACGAACCCTTCAGCCCACATTGGACTCGAAGGGCGCTACGACTCGCCACCAATGAATCGGCCGCCTTTGCCACCCTCAATCGGTGGGTACACCCCCGACGCACAGGGGAGGTAACGATTGAATTATGGGAGGCACTCAAAGAGCAGCCTGAGACGGCCGCTGAGGCTAGGAGCAGATGGGAGTGGCTGGAAGATCTCACGAAACTGCCGATGTACATACGAGGAAGAAAGGGGCGCAATGTATCTATCACCATGCAATTGGAGACTTTAGATACCTGAGAAATGCACTCCGTAAAGGCGCTAGTAGACAGTGGAGCCACCGGCAGTTCCATAGACCGCGCCTGGGCCCAGAGTCACGCCCTCAACCTCAAGAAAGCGGCCCAGCCTGTTCCGGTTTATAATGCCGACGGCACTTGAAACAAGGGCGGTGACATCACCGAATATGCCAAAGTGCAGCTTCGTATTGGGGACCACGTGGAACAGATCGAACTAGCCATAGTGGACCTCGGGTCCACTCCCCTATTTCTCGGACACGACTGGCTCCAGAGGCATAACCCACTAATTGATTGGGACACCGGGGCGGTCACCCTGGCTCGTTGCGCCTGCCGCAAAATTCCATTTTCTCTCCCGGATACAGACCCCTCCTCCCGATGGGATGAATATGAAGAAGGGGACACGATCTTGGTTATTGATTTTGAAGAAGCGTTCCACGTACGGGCCATGGGGACTAAGGCCAATGAATTAGCCACCCAAGCCCATGCAAACAAAGCAACCAAGTCATTCGAAGAAATTGTGCCGGAGGAGTACTGGGAATTCGGGGACGTATTCGCTAAAGAAAACTTCGACGAGTTACCACCGAGGAAGCCGTGGGACCATGCTATCGAGCTTATTCCCAACGCCAATGCCAATCTAGATTGCAAAGTCTACCCTCTCAACCCTGTGGAACAAGAAGAGCTAGACAAGTTCCTTGACGAGAACCTCTCCACCGGGCGCATCCAGGCGTCAAAATCCCCCATGGCCTCGCCCTTTTTCTTCATTAAAAAGAAGGACGGAAAGCTTCGCCCAGTCCAAGACTACTGAAAGCTCAACGAGATGACCATCAAGAACCGGTATCCGTTGCCGCTCATTGGGGAACTTATGGACAGACTGAAGAAAGCCAAATACTTCACCAAGTTGGACGTACGGTGGGGGTATAACAACATCAGGATCAAGCAAGGGGATGAGTGGAAGGCCGCATTCAGAACTAATCGCGGCCTCTACGAACCCCTAGTGATGTTCTTTGGACTTACTAACTCCCCTGCCACCTTCCAGTGGATGATGAACGACATCTTCAAGGATCTAATAACCGCGGGGGAGGTATCGGTCTACCTTGACAACATACTCATCGCTTCAAAGACCAAGAAGGAGCACAGGCGTATCGTACGAGAGGTACTCCAAATCCTCTGGGACAACAAGTTGTTCCTCAAAGCCGAGAAGTGCAAATTCGAAGTTGAAGAAACCGAGTATTTAGGCGTCCTCATCAGCGAAGGGAAGATCCGGATGGATCCCGTAAAAATTGCGGGCCTGTTGGACTGGCCGACCCCATCCAAAAAACAGGAGTTGCAGTCATTCCTAGGTTTCTGCAACTTTTATCGACGTTTCATTCGCGACTACAGCTGGCACATTAAACCACTCACTAGCCTGACCGGAAAGGTAGAGTGGAAGTGGGGAGAGGCTCAACAGAAAGCATTCGAGAAGTTAAAGGAACTATTTCGCGAAGACGTGGTGTTGACCATTCCCCTAGACGAAGGGAAATTCCGAGTAGAGGCCGACTCCAGCGAAGGTGCAGTGGGAGCAGTACTGTCTCAATGGCAGGAGGAGAAGTGGAGACCAGTAGCCTTCCTTTCCAAGTCCTTGTCCGTCACTGAACGGAACTATGAGATCTACGATAAGGAACTCCTCGCCATAATGGTCGCATTAGAGGAGTGGCGCCAGTACCTTATGGGCGCCCGAGAGGATTTCGAAATCTGGACGGATCATTCAAACCTCCAGTATTTCCGAAAGCCTCAGAAGCTCAATTGAAGGCAAGCAAGATGGGTCACCGAATTGGCCAAGTACCAATTTACCCTCCATCACAAGCCGGGGGCCCAAAATCGCAAGGCAGACCTATTGTCAAGGCGAGCTGATCATAATCAAGGGAAGAATGACAACAAAGACATAATCGTTCTCAAATCCTCTCACTTCCGGGCCTTGATCATGCCCACCACGGAGGAATTGCATGAAAAGATCAGGCTGGCCACTCACAACCCGGGCAAATGGGATCGAGGGATCTCTGACTCTCTCAACCATGAAAAAGGAGTTTCCCGAGATCAGGAGTTGCTTTGGTATGAGGGGCAGATTTACGTTCCCAGGGATAAGAGGTTGCGAGGGGAAATCATCGCCCTTCGACATGATCATGCTACCGCAGGGCATCCAGGGATAGAAAAGACCAAAGAGCTCATACTGCGGGACTATTGGTGGCCCCGAATGCGCACAGAGGTGGAGGCCTACATCAAAGGATGCGAAGTCTGTCAAAGAACTAAGGCAGATCGTCGCCCCAAGCGAGCACCTCTCCATCCGAATGAAATCCCGACTCGGCCCTGGACGCACATTTCCGTCGACATGATCACCAAGCTCCCGGACTCCAGGGGGAACAACTCTATCCTCGTCATCGTCGACAGATTCTCCAAGACCATTATACCCATCACATGTACCGAGGAGCTCTCATCCCTAGGATTCGCTAAAATCCTGCGGGACTACGTTTATGTACCCTATGGCGTCATGCCTGAGAAAGTCATCTCAGACAGGGGGGCTATCTTTGTATCAAAATTCATGAAGGAATTTTACGCCCTCCTCCAAGTAACAGGAAATCCATCGACGGCCTACCACCCGCAAACTGACGGACAGACCGAGAGGGTCAACCAAGAGATCGAGAAGTACCTCAAGATGTTCGTCAGTTATCGACAGGATGACTGGAGCGAGTGGTTACCGCTCGCGGCTTTCACTCACAATAATCGCAAACACTCTGCCACGGGTTTCTCCCCATACAAAGTAGTCTTTGGACATGACGGACAAGTCATCAAGACCGCTCAACGTCAGGGCACGGTGCCGGCTGCATCGAAATTAGTCCAAGGAATTCAAGAGGTTCAGGAGAAGGCAAAAGAATCACTCAAGCGGGCGGCCGACTCAATGAAGAAGACTTACGACAAACGAAAAGGGGAAGCGGTGCAATATCACGTCGGCGACAAGGTGTGGTTGGATTCTACCAACCTGAACCTCCCTCGTCCGACAAAGAAGTTAGGAGACCGACGAGTAGGGCCTTTCGTAATTCTAGCCAAGAAAGGAGCGTCAGCGTACGAATTAAAGCTCCCCGCGAAGTGGCACATTCACAATCGGTTCAACGAGTCTCTGTTAACTCCATACCATTCCCCCGAGTTTCCAAATCAGCCACACCCGGAGAGGCCCCCTCCAGAATTAATCGACAATGAAGAAGAATATGAAATAGAAGAGATTGTCGGGGAGAGGGACAGAGTTGTGGGACGCGGACGCACCCATCGAACCATAACCGAATATTTGGTAAAGTGGAAGGGATACCCAATCGAGGAGAACTCTTGGGTCAAACGTTCAGATATGGCCAACGCGGAAGAACTCGTAAACGACTTTGAAGCGTGTGTCCAAAAAATGATATGGATGGTTGATGACAAGGGAAAAACAGTCAGCAGAGATGACAAGATACCACAGAACCTCCCGATCCATTATCATGATCCCGACACGCCTTGCGTCACCGATATCATCACCGTTCCCTCTTCCCAATGCACCGCATCGTGGCACTCGGAGGAAATTGATCGGATAGTCGAAGATACACCAATCAATTGGCACCCCGCATTTAACCCCGAATTAGAACGGGACTTCATCGAGGGAAAATGGCTGAAGGTTACCACGGATGAAGCAGATGGGATACCAGTTGTGGAAGAGAAAGAAGACATCGAGGAAGAGATCAATATTCAAAACCTCCAACGCATTCACGAAAACTGGGATGCAGATGAAGGAGATGATGATGATGACGAACCATCTAGCTTCTACTCCACATCAGCACAGTCCACCTCTGACGATGACAACTGGGAAAGCGATAACTCATTCAGGACGAACGAGTCTTAAGGGGGGGGTAATGTTATGGTTTATTCATTTTTCTTCGTTTTACTCAGCCTGATTACTCATATGCGATCACAACGGACACATTCCCACAGTACTATTATTAGCGTACCCATTTGTATTTAAGTAGAGCCTCAGCTGGCCTAAACCCCAGCTTCGGCTAAGGTTTAATCTACCTAACATCGAACTCCGTTCTTCGTGACTATCTGTCCCATCGACTTTCATCGCCTTTGACTTGCTAGAGTATCGTCTACCGAAGTGCGAGTAGCGATCCTAGTACGATCTAAGTCAATAGAGTTAGTGGCTAACAACTTTGTTTCCATATGAAGTCAGTGGCTTGGAAGATCGTAGTCATTTAATGAGTCTTGGGTTTGAAGCACATGTTAAGCATCTGTTAAACCTCAATGATAGTAGATTTCAGACACATCGCACCTTTCTATTCACAGCGTTTAACATGATACAGCGTCGGAAGCTCCTTCTCCATACTAGCTTCAGGGTGAAGAAAAAGAATTTTCCTCAAGTTGCCAACAAGTTTGCTACTGTATCTGCTGCAGCTGTCGCGGCCATTGCTGAACGTGTTTCAAATGGTGACTTTAAGACCGCGAACACGCCTGAAGAACGTAGAGTGTTGACATTGATGAAAGAGGTAAATGCAGTAGCTACAGGCATTCCTGGTTCAAGTATGGCACGCGTTGCTAAAAGAAATGAAGTAAAGGGTCTTATGATGGACAAAGGACTGGTGAGTTTTTACATTACTATTAACCCTGCTGACATATATAACCCTGTCGTTAAATTTCTTGCCGGTTCGGAAATTGATGTTGATGATATGTTACTATCCGAGGTACCAAATTATTGGGATCAAAGTGTCCTTGTCGCAAGGAATCCTGTGGCTGCAGCTACATTCTTTAATGTGTATATGAAGGCGTTTATCCGTTGCATACTGGGATATGATCCTAAGCAAGAGAGTGTTGACGGGGGTGTCCTTGGGTTGGTGAAGGCTTATTATGGTTGCGTTGAAGCACAAGGCTGAGGTACCTTGCACTGCCACATGATGGTCTGGGTCGAGGGTTCTTTGAATCCTGATGAGATCAAAAGAAGAATTATGCAAGATAATGATGTAGAATTTCGAGACCGTCTTCTTGCTTTTTTAGATGATGCTATTTCCACCTCTGTACCTTCTGGACCTAAAGACGATAATGTTTCCATTCCTTCTGATGTTTCTCATGCCTGTACTGTGCGAGAAATCCAAAGAGGCATTCCCGATCATCTTATTCAGGAGGCTAAGGACAAAGACTTTCGAAACTTGGTTAAGGATTGTCAGATACATTCGCATTCAAAACGTGTTATAAATATTGTAGTAAATATGAGCATGTATGCCGATTTGATATTGATGAGAATAATTACAGAGAATATTCTTCTTTCGACTATGAAAAAGGTGAACTGTGTCTTCGTTGCCTCAATGGTTTAGTAAACAACTTTAACGACATGATAATTAGAGCTGTTCATTGTAATATGGATATTAAGTTTATTGGCTCAGGTGTATCTGCAAAGGCTATATTATACTACATAACAGATTACATTACGAAGTCCCAGCTGAAGTTGCATGTTGCTTACACTGCTCTTGAACTATCCATCAAAAAATTAGGTGAATATAATCCTGAGGAGAACGAGATGACGACTTGTGCTAAGAGATTGTTACAGCGTTGCTCTTATGCTATGATATCCCATCAAGAATTGTCTGTGCAGCAGGTAGTTTCATATCTTTTGGAATATGAGGATCACTTTACATCTCATGAATTTTCACCCTTATATTGGATGGCGTTCGAAGCATTCATTGATAGTGAGCAACCGTCACCTGAATGTTGTGTTTCTTCTAAAATGACAACTACTGTTGTTGACCCTGAAGATCAATCACCACCTTTCTTAAATGACACTTTTGTTGGCTTCGATGCCTTGCCTCATTTATCCAACACGGACGCACGCTCTCAGAGTGTTAATGGTAGCCATGAAGTAGATAATGAATGTGATAATGACAGTAGCGATGCTGATAGCGATACCTCCTCCAATGATGATGACAATGAGTTGGTAGTGTCCATTGATCCTGGCGGTCATCTCGTAGCATGCGCCAGTCGTGTCAGTGATTGTCAGCTTCAGGGCGAGTTTCTTTGAGACCTTAACCTGTGGGAATACATTGCTAGAGTCAAAAAAATTAAGACTACAGTTAAAAGGTCAAAAGAAGCATACGATGAAGATAACGAGGATGATGCTGATGATGATAACTTTTGGGAAGGCACTGATAATGACATTGTCTTTACAGATGATGATCCTGGAGCTGAATTTCCTTCTGAAGATGATGCTAATGACAAGCAGGAAACGATGGCTGGGTTCTTTACTTCTATCACATCCAGTAAGTGGCGTACTTTAGATGCCATGTTGAATGATGCTCACCATCTCAGACCAAAGACCAAATTTGATGAGTCCCATCCTGAACATCAGACTCATCACCAGGTAGTTTGTTCTCCATCTCGTCGAAAGATACCTGTGCCTTCGGGCGTCAGTATCCCGAGACGAGACCACGACAACGTTTACACCCGGTATTGTAGATTGATGTTATTGCTGTTCAAGCCATGGTTCCATGCCAGTGATCTTCGTGCCAACGGTCAGACTTGGATAAACACGTTTCGACAGTTCCACGAGAGTTGTGGTACCCATATTGTCTCTATCATGGATAACATGCAGATTCTTCATGAATGTCGGGATAGTCGAGATGACCATTTTGCGCAACGCCATCTCCGTAAGCAACAGATGTCGATGAATACCTACCATCGTAGTCAGCAAGAAAATGATGATTTTGATGATGACAAAAATACTGAAGAGGCTATACTCGAGCACCTTCATTCTTTAGATACCATTGCTTCTGACAGAATGTTGAATGCAAAATGCTACGTCGAGGAATGTCTCTTCTATGGGGAAAAATACGGTATGTTTCAGGCGAAGGAGCACTTGTCTACCTGTTACAATCGCGGTTTTGCTGGTCGAGTTGAGGAAGTTGATTCTACTTCTCCCAGACTACCTTCGGAAATTCTGTGGAAGGTCGCCTACGATGACCGAAAGGAACAGTGGAAGAAGACGACCTTGCACTTGACCACTGGTGAAAGTCCATGGGGCTTGACCAATAACCATAACACAACTTGTTCGAGAGCGAGTAATGTTTCTGATGGATCTGCTTTCAGAAATGCACTCGTTAACCCTGTTACTAATATCCCTAGTATTCAAACCGACATACCTGTTAATGCACCTGTCCATCATGTTGATATAGAGTCAGTGATAGTTGATAACAATCTAAATACTGAGCAGGCCAGAGTGTTTAGGATTATAGCTGAACACAGCTTGTGCTCAAAGATAGACCCTCTTTGAATGTTTCTCGGTGGTCCCGGTGGTACAGGTAAATCGACGGTGATAAATGTGGTGAAAGGTTTCTTTGACTGCACGTGGTCAGAGTAGACAGTTCCGTTTAGCATCCTACACTGGTATCGCTGCGAGGAATATCCAAGGAATGACTCTGCATTCTGCATTGATGTTGGGTAAGGCAAATCGATGTGGTGTGTTTACAAAGACAAAACAAGAGCTTGTGGCAATGTGGCAGGGTGTCGATTATCTTTTCGTTGATGAAATTTTGATGGTCGGTTGCAAGATGCTTTTTGATATATCGTCTGCTTTGACTGTTGCAAAAGAGGACACCAGTATATTTGGAGGAATGAATATAATATTTGCTGGTGACTTTGCTCAGCTGCCCCCTGTCAGAGATCGCAAGTTGTATGGCAGCATCACTACTTTCTCGACGTCGCAGTATAGTCAAGATCAAGTAGCAGGGAAGCTTCTTTGGTTGTCTATAGATACTGTGATCATTTTACATGAAATCTGGAGACAAAAGGGTTCAGAGAATGCCGCGTTTGTTCAATTATTAGAACGCTTATGAACTGGGATATGTACTGATGCGGATTACAACCTTCTTTCTACACATTTGCTGAGCAACTGTTAAACCGGATTGGTACAAACAACCTTGGTCGATGACACCATTGATTGTTCCTCAGAATGATGTTAAGGATGCTTTCAATGAATGTATGGCACACCGTTTCGCTGAAGAACATGGAAGGGAACTTCATTATTACTACTCATTGGATACTCACAAATGCTTACCTATCACTGACTGCATTCTGCGAGATCATCTTCAGTCTTTGTCATCAGGAAATACAAATCAAAGGTTAGGAGCTTTGCCTCTTGTGATTGGGATGTCCATAATGATATCAACAAACTTTGATGTTCCTGGTGGTGTTGTGAATGGATCCGTCAGTACACTCGAGAAAATCCGTTACAAGACTGATGAGGAAGGTCGCCGGTATGCTTTATCCTGTGTTGTTAAGCTTCCTTCAATGATTGCTGAGAAGCTGCCAGAATTGGCTGAGCGAGAAGCAGCAGCATTGCCCGATGAGGTCGACTTAGACTTCACTCACCCTTACAGTCATTGTAGGTGTCAAATACAATGCACCCAGCTTCCCATTATGCCAGCATTTGCATTCACCGCGCATAAAGCTCAGGGTCAAACCATGGAAACGGTTTTGATTGATGTAAAGTCTTGTCGTGGGACAGAGAGTCTGTACGTGATGATTTCGAGGGTCAAGTCTCTCTCAGGTTTGCTTATTTTAAGACCATTCGATTTGTCTGTGATACAAAAGAACCCGTCAGAAGATTATCGAAAGGAGAGTAAAAGATTGAATATCTTACGATTACAGACACTGGAGAAACATGGAAACGATGAAGAAAGGAGAACAGCCAGTTTAGAGCTCTGCAAATTTATAAGTGAGAAAGCACCCGTAAACCAGTATATCAGCACCTGATGCAGACGCCTCAGAACCTGGTGACCGAAAGATTACAGCATATTCAAAATGCTATAAATGCACTAGACCGCCATTCAGTCAGAGTAGAAAGAGGTACAGCGAAACAGTCCAGTACAAGAACTTTCTATGCCTAGCAAGGGAGAGCAGAGGTACCAGCCATAAACGCGTTAGAAACTTGGGAGATAATGGTGTTACAAGTACGAAGAAGAAACCGTGTCTTCGATGAAGCGTGATCACGTGTTTTATACAAAGAGCAATCAAGAGTCCTCTTCAGTCTTTCTTCACATTCTTGCATTCATCTCCTTAGCCAATGCCCTACAGTCGATAAATGTGAGCTCTTAAATCTTTTGCGACGTGAAATTGCTTGATTACTCACGTTATCATGATCTTTTGTAGCCATTCAATCTCTACAACCTGAATATCTTCGCCGCCTGTAAGGTTGTGTACCTTTACAACCAATACGTTACCCTTGAACCGTGGACCTGTACGCAGCAGATATGGGGAAAGTTGTCTGTTCTGTAACGCCAGCGTGCGCTTCTGATCGCGTATGAAGTACATTGCCCATCTTATTGTGCTGGTGCGTTTCAGTATTTTCGCTCCTCCGATTGTATGATCGCTGCCATTATCATCCGTATGGACTTGAAGCCATCTCTCCGGATGAAAATTGGCATCGCCAATACAGTGAGTCCTCATATGTGTTTCAACATGGACAAGTTTTGGCATGAAACAATGTGTACCGAACAATAGACCTTGGCATATATGTTTGGCCCCCTACAGATTATGACCAGCAGCACATATAGTGTTAAATGACACTTACCACCCGTTTCATTATTTCCTTGTTTTGCAGATCGACAATGGCTTCTATCACGTTAGGCTTCAGCATCATTACGATTTCATTCGTGGGATGGTAATAATCATTCTGTTTATATAGCTTTCCTTTCGTGTTTCTGGGATCTTTTATCTGTCCTAAATCGTCTGTTCGTCTGACCTACTATTCTGTCTCGTGGTGTTCTAACAATGAAGGTGTTTCAGTTTTTCCCGTTGTTGTTTTGAACACGTCGATCTTATATTTCATCTCAGCTACCCTTCCTGCAACAAGACAACCACGGTACTTCACGAAACAATGGGAATGTCGTTCTGAAAATGTTTCCAAGGAGCCTGCTGCAATGGATACCATGCCACTATCAGATACTGTTACGACGTGACCCCGTATTGAGAAACTCAAAGATTCCTTTTCCACACTGCATGCTGTGACAAGACACAGATGTACCTTCAAACTCATGATAATGCAACAATACAGATGTCTCATTACCTCTTTATGTTTTCAAATGCACTCACCTTATATTCCCTCTTCTCAATACCCCTCCACCTTTCCTCCCTCGACATCTGCCCCTCCTCAATTGACCTCTGACGCTTTTGGGGAAAGACATGGCAAGTCTCTGTAGGGAACTCATCCTAAAGATCATTGACAAGGTCTGCGCCACCAAAGACCAGGCTACTGCCAGAGCATGTTCTGAGGTTGCTCCCTTTTTAGTGTGGCCTTCTCGTCCACTTCTTTTCCACACTATATGTGTTGACAACGACACCGACATACAATGTTGGAACAGTTTTCTTGACTTCAATGCTAAACTCTGCCCCGACTTCGCCGTTCCACCTCATGTCCGGCATTTGGTTATTTGGAGTTCCGGCCAATCAATATATGGTCACGCTCCTGTTACCACCGAACAGCTCATTCATCGCTTCCATAACATCACCACACTTGACCTTCGAGGTCGTATTAACATAGACTGGACCAACTTGAAAGTCCAGCCATTGCCACTTGTACGCTGTCTGAACTTGCAAGGATGTCCTTTGTACGATGTATCCATAAACATTTCCCAATGCTTCCCTTCCCTCACTATTTTCAACGTCTGAGACACCGTCCTCCCCGATGTGGAGAGCTGTACTGAAGACGAGAACACTTTCCTTGCCGAACCTCCCCCTTTACGCATCATGACCATCGATTCTTTATGGGGTGAACATGTCATTGACTTGGTTCAACTATTCAGGATGATTCCTTGGTACTGGACTGTAGACACCCTCGTGGTTCGATGTAGTCCTCGCGTTTTGGATCGCTTTTTCGAACAGATTCCGGACATGAAGGTTCAACTCAAATCTCTGCATTGTATGTCACAAGGTGCATTTCAGTTGTTTTGTCTACCCCATCATTCTCTTACGTTTTCCATCAATAGGTCCTATAAAGCTGGCAGTATGTCTCGAAAACATCGAACATCTTGTAGCATTAGAAGCATTCGGCATCCATATCCTCGACGTCAATGTTGATAATGTGCTTCCGGGACTCTGTCGTATCATATCCCTCCATTTAAATTCCCTCCAGATCGGCTTTGGCATTACCTTGTTGGGTAACAATCCCTTCGAACTGTCGAGCGCATGGAATACATTCAGGGATACTATCTGCGATGTAACTCATTTCTCTCATTTAGTTGAGGTTGAGATATGTATCTATGATGCCAGCCTGGTCTGCTAGATTTCTGTTTGAAAGATGTTAGTTGACAGTTAATTGTGATACATCAGGAGTGTCAGTTTACATCCAGCCCATATACAGTAATTCCATCAGGATGACAAAGTGGCTTAGTAAGCTTCCCAATCTGTGTCAATGATGGCATCATTAGAAAAGAGAGCAATCCAGGGAATTGAACCTGGGACCTCAAAAATAAATCCAATAATGTCACATGACTTTCTCAAGCAAGCATGCTAACCACTACACCATACTAGCATTATATATATATCTTTTCATCTCTATATATACCCTCCCTCCCTTAACATTTATGACCTCATATTGATGCCCTCCCTTTGCTCTGCTCTGGTGCGCTCTTTTGCCTTTTTAGGCTCCCCAAATCAGCCCATCAATTTTGGCTGGATCCAGTGGCAGTGCTGCATTTTTAATACCTAAAATAGGGGCATTGATGGGCTGATTTGGGGAGCCTAAAAAGGCAAAAGAGCGCACCAGAGCAGAGCAAAGGGAGGGCATCAATATGAGGTCATAAATGTTAAGGGAGGGAGGGTATATATAGAGATGAAAAGATATATATATAATGCTAGTATGGTGTAGTGGTTAGCATGCTTGCTTGAGAAAGTCATGTGACATTATTGGATTTATTTTTGAGGTCCCAGGTTCAATTCCCTGGATTGCTCTCTTTTCTAATGATGCCATCATTGACACAGATTGGGAAGCTTACTAAGCCACTTTGTCATCCTGATGGAATTACTGTATATGGGCTGGATGTAAACTGACACTCCTGATGTATCACAATTAACTGTCAACTAACAGTGTTTGATGCATCAAAGTAGCAGCTATAGATGATGATGCGGCGCAATGTGGTAGGGTCTTCCTACAATTGACAGAAAACAATCTTAAGTATGTATTTTCCACTCTTGTTAACTGCCCTATCAAAATGAACATTCATCTTCGGGGAGAGTAAAAGAACACTCTGTATCTTTCTCTTCATATCATAATTTTATTCCGTATATTGAAAATGTATGTATTCAAATGACATATCGCTTCATTTCATATTAGCTGTATACTTAGAAAATACAAATAAAAATTAGGCTGAATTCGAAATTATGTCCACAATCGGCCCGCCCATGCGTTGTGTCACTCCCTCTATGCACATTTCATTTGTCAGAGACCTTGACCATTCATCAGTACCCATAATAACACAGTCGCATGAATATAAGATACTCATGATATCACTAGATCCTGTATCTCAGCAATTTCGGTCTCATTGATATCCTCTGCACCATTGAAATCGTGTGCTTTGACTACCAACACATTGCCTTTTATTGGACGACCTTTCTTTGGTAGAAATGCGGCTATCAGGTTGTTCTTTTGAGCACATGTGTACTCCTGCACGCGAATGAAGTACATCACCCATCTGACCACTCCAGTGCGTTTCAGTATCTTTGCTCTTCCAATAAACGAGTCGTGAATTGAGTCATTGATATCCGGAGTCACCCATCTCTCAGGGTGAAATGTTGCTTCCCCAATGTGATGCGTATGTTTATCCATCTCTACACAGACAAGCATCAGTGAGAAACAGTGCGTGCCAAATAATAATCCCTGACACATCTGTTCAATACCCTTTAACATGTGAGCATGACATTCATCACCATATACTTGGATTACTCACAACTGCCTGTAGTATGAGCTCATTCTGTAACTCCACCATCTCCTCTATACTCTGTGGTTTGACTTTGATCATGTTTTATGTTCTCAGTGCGTTCCTCCTTCTTTCCCCCTACCCTCTTTATTAACTTGTCTTTTAAATGTGTCTCATTTCTATTGTCTACACTTCAGATCATGGGTCAGCCATACAGTCATGCCCAACATGGTCGAACGTCACGAGTAGCACTTGCCTTGTTTCTAAGACTCGTATGTTACATCACTTCGTGACTAGCCAGCGTTCCTTACCAGTAAATTTCCTCCTCACAAATCTATCCTTCACTATACTAACCATGCCATCTCTCCATGCAGAAATCATCATGAAAATCATCAACATCCTCGCAGATGAAGGAGATTTAGCGGCTGTATGTGCTTGTTGTGCGGTTGCTCGATTTTGGGTCTACCCTTCACGCTCGTTCTTATTCCACATCATACGTGTCAACACCCATACGGACCTGCAGTGCTGGAATAGCTTCTTGAAATTCAATGCCAAACTGCCCACCCTCTTCTCGGTGCTTCCACATGTGCACTGAGTGACTGTATGGAAAACAGGCCAAACAGCATATGGTGCATCACCCATCACAACCATTCAGTTCCTTCGTCTCTTTCCCAAACTCACTATCATCGACTTCAGAGAAGGTGTCATTGTCAACTGGACTGAGCTACATGCTCAACCATTGCCACTCATTCGGTGTTTGAACGTGCAAGGCTTTCATTTGTGGAGTCTAAGCCTCAAGATTCCAGGTCGCTTTCCCTTCCCTCTCTATCCTTAACATCTCCGATAGCTTACGCTGGGCCGGTCAATTTGCTGAAGAAGACGAAGCGTTAATCATGAACACCTCTCCTGGACTCCACGCTGATTCATTGAACTTGGAATGGGACCACAATGTCAATGATCTGATTGACGTATTTTCCGACAATCCATGGTTCTGGAATGTCGATACCCTCATCATCCAATGTGGAGCAGTAGCCTTGGATTGGTTCTTTGAAAATTTGATCAACATGCAGACTGAACTAAACACATTATATTGCAAATGTCATAGTACGTTGTTAATTACTCTTCCGTTCTATCTTTATTTATACATCATACAGCGTCATTAAAACCACTCGTTCGTTTTGAGAACATTGAATATCTCCCATCTTTGCAAGCGTTCGGCATGCATCTCCTTGATACAGACACAGATCACATCCTTGCCAGGCTATGCGAGTTAGCATTGCCCGACCTGTACATGATATCCTTTTCCTATGCAATCACCGGCCCCTCAGAAACACTCTTGGAGCATCGAGCAGTGTGGACCAGGTTCAGGGATGTTGTCATGGATGTTTCTCGTTTTCCTGCATTAACCGACATCGACATCGACATATATGGCAATCTGGGTGCGGAGGACATACACATTCGCATGATGTGGAATAACCTTATTTACCTGTTCTCATTCGTGGACAGTTCCAGGATCACTGTTAATGTACACACTGATAATGATGACACTACCGCGTAACTAAACGTAACTAATCTTTACATTATCCACGGGTCTTATTATACACATTAAAATACGCATGTTCAATCAGTCTTCTTTGGAATATACTAGGTCTTCATATGCACCATCATGTTAGAAATGCCATCCATCTTGGTGTCCACCACCCCCATTTTCATGCTACATCCTTTTGACACCGCACAACGTTTCTTGGGAGGTCCTTGTACTGGGCCATCTTCTTTTGTTTGCATCCTTGAAATTGTTTTTAGAATCTTCATTGAGTGCATTAGATTTGGTTTACTGCATTAAAAATTACACTGTACCTTGATGCCTCCCCATTCGATGGCCGTACAAGAGTCGAGTCATGCTTGAAATTGTACTCGACGCGGCATTTTTATCAATCTGAATGATAAGCCCAGATCCACGATGTGCCCAGGTTTCAGCAGAGCTGGATTCATGTCCGACACGAAACTGAAGAGTACTCAATATATGTCTAACATGGGATACATATAAATAACACGTACATTTCACCACCAGTGGTAGGCCCCCACTTCAAATACGACACCACGTTGTCCTCTGTATATTGATGGGATCCTTGGGTCATCATATTTTTCAATACATTCCCATAGTCGATTGAAGAAATATCAACTGTCGACATCCGAGCCTTGCCCACAGGCATTAACAATCGAGTTTGTCCGCGAATAGCTTTCAGATTGCCCAATACGAAGTTATTCATCATATTGACTTTGACATTGAACCGGGCCATGAACGCATTTATGGCTTCGATTCCCTGAATGGCTCGACTGAACGTGTCGTCTTGACTGCTACTGACAATAACAACTGATTGCATGAGGTCGTTCAATTTCCCACTGCCTGTTATTAGAAATATGCTGAATCCTAGACTAAAAAGAATACTAACGAGTATTCCATTTCGTTGCCAATAACAGGTGGGTGATGAGCTTCTGCTAAAATGCCTTCCACTTGCAGTACAACTTCCTCCTGAGAGTCCTTCCAAACAAGGTACGCGAATTCATCGGAAGTGTTCGTGTTGACAATGAAAGCATTATCGATTAATGCTTCATCTGCGTATGTCGCCAATTGCCATCGAGCATCCATACTCTCTGACTTGCGCAAACATGCATTAGCAAGTACTGCATCAGCACGTGAGCAGTGTCTATTCAGCCCGAGTTGAACTTATTATGTATGAATGTCCATTTGCTTCACAACCTCCTTCAACTGTGCCAGGTCGACTCATGGGGTACAAGATAAGGGCATTAATGTCAGAGGTTTGTACATATCAATGAACGTGTGAGGATAAATTGAAAGTATACTTTCCAGATGACCATCGTTTTCCATCCATCACTCTTGTATTTGAGCCTCTTACCACTCGCCTACTACCAGCTGACTCGCATAATGGCTTTGTGTTTTACCCGCTGTCTCACTTGGAGCATACCACACAGACAAAATTGGACTACGATGATGCCCACATTTACCAGTAAAAAAATCCTTGAATTGTTTCATCGTTCGACTATAGTTTGCATGACCTGACAACAAACACATTCAATCTAGCTATGAATTCAACGATATCTTTGTACCGTCATTCAGCTTCTTGAATCAACATCTGATTTTCCACATGATATATCTGGTGAGCATTTCTTTCTTGTCCCTTCCTAAACACCTCAGAATTATTATTGAATTCTGAAATCGCATGTTTTTATGTTAAGTTACCCACAGGAACATGATAGCTAATGTTCCACCTCTCTTGTTATGTACATGCATAAAAAGCAGGGGTACCACTATGAGCTCATCTTCGTTAGGATCCCACTCGTACAAACTATAACTACATCAAAAATGCACAAAAAGAATTCCAAGTGAGTGTGATCGCTTCCTTTCGCCTCATTCCTATCAGATTCTTATGGACCACCCAGGGTTTCTCCCACTAAACGTGACGCTGATACGCCTCCTCCCATGGAGAATGAATCAAAGCAACCGAAAGTAGATATATCTGTGTCATGAGTGATTTTAGCGTAAATCGTCTCAAAATCAATGTTCATACATTTTACTACAGTGGATCTGCTTTGGACAGTACCCTTTTGGATACCAACAAATCTGAATCGGTCGTTACCATTCGCACATACCGAGAAGTATCAATACTATTTCGTATTTTTTCTTTTCAGTACATTGAATGACGTTCCACAGCAACCCAACTTCCTCGATTCCTATCGAGCCCCTTCCCGTCCAAGATGGAGATGTGAAAAGGTTTGTATTTGTGGTTTGAGAGTTCGCCCCCTCTAACGCAATACTGACAGTGACCCTCACAAATACAGGGAAAGTGCCGACATCATCGAGACAGATGCCATGCCAGAAAAACAGTAAGAGATTCACTTCTGGAAATAGTAGTTGTCTGATCGTGCTTTGTAGTCGATAAAAAGGATGCAGAGAACAAACGTAAGCGATCCCCGACTCCTGTAATCAAACCGTAAGCTTTCGCTTTCTTCAGTCATCTTGCTTATTGTTGATCAACAGTAACCTCAACTCTTTCTTCCATTCGTTTGTGTCGAGTAAACCTGTGATGATTTTGCCACACGTGTTCGCGAGTTGGGAATATCATACAGCGATCCTACTGCCGTACCCCATCACTCCGTTCGTCCTTGCAGATCATCTTGGCGGTAATGAAAACAAGGCAGAGTGAGTCATTCGTGCTTTTGATATAGGTTACATTATTCTGAATATACTGAAACTTGTACAGACGCATCTTGAAATATGCTCTCACAGCGGAAGGAACCAACCTATACAATTTATTTTCAGTGCAGCCGAGGAATTTTCGTTACAGTGTCATGAACAAGTCCAACGACGGTCGCAAGATTGTACGCGCTTCTGATAATGTGGATGCTAGCTTCTACATGGTAGGACGGGTAACGCATTGCAGTCTGGAGAACGGAGAATACAACAAAGAGATCAACATTCAACCACTGGGATCACCTTCTACCCCGATGTGTAGCAGTTATATTCCAGATATTGCGCTTTCAACAACCTATTTTCAGTGTATACAAAGATGGATTAACCATTTCTTCCTACCAGAAACCCATGGAAGGTTCGTCTTTCTCGACCAGTCTATTAAGTTAAACTGGTTTTAATTTTTATCAGGACAGAAAGAGCCAAAGGTTTCGACCGGTGCCAATGAATGGTGAGAGTCATGGACCACATGAGTGGTTACCAATATGTTGCTAATCACACTCGTATTAATCGTTATACCCTGCTTAGCGATCCGTGCCTGGAACCATGAAGGTATATAGGGATTATCTGCGCTGCTTTTCCATCAGGTCTGATGTTCACAAAGTTCCCATGTTTTTGGGCCATTCGAAGTTTGCGTTGACGCATTATCCTGCTCTTCCCTTGGCAGATATCAAGTTTGGGGACTACGCGTTAGTAGTCTTTATGATTGGTGGATATCGGTCCTGCGAGGATGTCGAATGCATCTCTCTCAATGTACAATTCGCCATTCACTTGGAAACTCAGGACAGTAAAGACTGCACAAGCACCTTTCGATTCTTTCTATGAAGATTTTGGAGATGAGACTCCTCTTGGAGTGGATGACACTCATGTAATGGAAAGATATTCTGGTGACATAACTGATATTCCTGTTTCTGTGCTACCTTCTGGTCCTGTAATGTAATTCATTTGTACTTCAATTATTGTATTACTACTACTTAATGCCTCAGTTAAATGCAACCCTGTTTTTGTTTGACGATACATTTGTTCTGAAGCGAAAACAACTCAGCTAAAAGACGGACTACAAAATCAGCATCAATCAGGCCTGGTTCGTTCCTTCTTCTGTGACTTGCATCATATACTGATCGTAATGCCTATCCTCACGTTACTTATCCCCTTGTTTCGTGAAACTGCTAGATATCTTAGTAAATGTGCAATCCGATATAAAATACCATCCACTCAGGTCAGTAGGATTCTTGTTGTCTCGTACCCATGCAACCACATCACCCCATTTCATTTTTGAAAGAAAACCCCATACAACCTCCCCTTTCCATCGATGATCTTCTCGACTGATGAGATGCTTATCAAAAGGATCGAAACCGACTACATAACTATGCATCAGTCTCCACCGACTTATGCCGGTCCTGATTCCGACCCTCCAAAAGTAAGTTTACCTACCTTTACACCTGTCCAAGTCGTTTATTCCGCTGTAGATCAATACAAATAATCCTTGTCCATTTTGGAAATATGCCCCATGTCTTGCTAGTTCTCCTACCTCCTCAGCTGACGCATTCACTTGTGAATGCCAGTGTCTCATTCACAAGGATGTCCTATACTATTGCGAGCCACTCAAAGCAGTTCTCACTTGCTATTTGGTAAGGGTCGTTACCTTTATTAATGAAACCCTTGATCCTACATTATATAGAACTACAAGCTGAATCGAGACATTCAAATGAACACGAGTACAGAAAAATAAGATTGGAGCATCCATCCTTCTCTTTCATTGATGAGCACTGTCACCCTTTACCTTCGCATACCATTCAGAACCACAGGGAGCAAATGATATTTTCTTTTTTTGCGCCATGACATCCTCCTTTTCCACTTGTACAAGTTGTGTTTGGCCAGTTGATCTTAATTATAAAAAGATCAATGACTTCATAGCTACCGAAGAACTAGTCTTACAGTTCCTCGAATATAGCGACATAATATCCCTCGCACGATTGTCTCACTGCAGTCGTACTTTTCGTCATCTTGTCCGTTGCATCGTCACCACATGGCTACGGTCCTTTCTCACTCATTTCATGCCACCATCTATCCTAGCCCATTTCTTCACCACACTCGATTACATGAGCGCATCAGTTGTGGGTTCCGTGGTGTTACAGGTTCTTACTCCAGCTTGCAACTGGAAAACAAATAATTTGAATATCATAACACCGAATGGGACGTATGCATCCTGGATCATTTTCTGTCGTGATCATGCCTTCAAGCTTTGCAAGTCTATTGATGGCTTGGATTATCATCATTGCCAAATGGGGGGCTAGCTCGGTCACTATGTATCAGCATTCCGTTTTTCAGGTAATGGTCTCTAACTGTACCTTGATCCTACTTCAGGAACTGATTCTAGTCCAGACAGCATTTATTATCACAGAAAGCAATTCTCGATCGATTTTTGCTCCCATCCTGACATCCGAGGCATCAAGTCAAATGAACGTTATCACATCCAGCCATATATATTGTCTATACCCTGCAATTACGTTGACCAGGGCCACAGTAAATGCGTGGCATGCACCACAAGGTGGTCCTGTACCAAATCCCCACAGAGCGTTATGCCATACCAACGAAGGCGCCTCGCCGAGCAAAAATTAACGCTATATGAAAACAGTAAACGCGACGATAAAGAGTGCGGCATTGAGTGCCTGGAGCTCATGTGGTCATTATGAGGACTCAGAGACGTAGGCATTCTTCATTGGGGAGGCTGGAGAGGTGTAAAAGCTGGTATGGACGAACTCTTACCCCCATCCTCCCTTCATTATAAGTGGTCATTAGGTATTATTTGCCAGAATTCTTGTTGTCATTGACGCGCTACACATGGCTCATAGTCAAACTTAATGTAAATAAATTGGATAGTGAACATCGGAGAATGGGCCGAAAACATGAAACTATTTTTAATATTACAAAATCACATGTACAAAAAAATCACATGTTTAAAATGACGTGTTCAAAATGTAATGCTCAAAACGGAATGATCTCAAGCTCCTTGACGTGTAACACGAAGACCTAGGAATGGCTGGTCAAAACATCAGCAGTCTTTAGACATCTAGAGATACATACTTCGCATTGACTTGATGCAGACAAGTGCTTCTTCAAAGTCACTAAAACATGGACTGGAAAATCAGCTGACTCGCTCAACATATCTTCTGTCATGGGCAAATGAATTTGAGACCCCATTTCATTGGACGAATCAGGTAACCGATATCCTGGTGCATCTACTGACTAGGAAATTGTAAGTGTTGTACAACTGACAATATTATGAAGGACAAAACTCACGACAACTTGCAGATCCGCGTAAAGCATCAAGTATTGCTTATGACCCTCGTCCTCGAAAATCCAACCTCGAGAAGACAGATTCTATATCATGTTTGAGTCCTCAGCTTGGTCACCATTAACATACTATAAATAAACTAACCTTGTTCTGATCCCTTAGAAACAACCTGCTCAAAGTGTTAACTTGTGCATTGAATAAAATTTCTCCGCTGCTGTCCCTCAAGGTCGGTCCCAAACAAAGCCAATGATTATTATGCATCATGGGGAACTACCAATACGTGAGTCATGAATGCAGTGTTTCTGCACCGACTTACGAGTACATCTCCCAACATGCACATCCCAAAGTGCAATCGTCCGAGGAGTGCGCCCTGATACATGGTGTGTTCGACATTGTGGTAATATGCACTGGTCGTGGTGTTTCCTCATGAACATAAAGGTCCTTTTCATATACAAGGTGGCGCAATGGTGGTTTGGGAATGCTGATAAAAAGAACGGACGATGCAAATCAAGAGTTTGAGCTTTATCCATATCCATGATGGTACAGTTTTTTGGCTTTCCACAACATTTATCTACTGAAATGTCTCACTTTCTCTAAGTAGGCACAATACGACCCATCTCAAAAAAGAAATCTCCCCACCTTCAACCACCTGATTACAAAAAAGGTCACTTGCACGATTGAAATGGATAGCAAAATAGACTGACCATCTCAAATACATAGGCATCTGTATCAAATCATCCCCTGGAAAAAGGTGTCCAATTTCAAATGAACTCCCTTCATCACCGCGTACCAGCTTCATAATTAACAGATTTCCCTCCCCATACAAACCCATCAACTGTAATGCCATGTTGTGGTCTCTCCCATTCCACTGCATATGAGAACATAATGAACCATGAATACGTCCTCCAATTCCTTCATCCCAACATTCGTATCTATCACACCTCCCATGGTTCATGCATGACCCAACCAGTAATCACATCAACATCGTCACGGGTTTGATACTCCTGGGCGGATTCAATTAACGGAAGGAACCAGTGTGAAAAGTAATGCTTCGATGTTCAAAAAAAGCGGCCCAAAAGTATGGTCTTCCCTATCCATAAACTTAGTGCCATTAAATATTGTGAAAAATATAGCAAGCTGACTGATTGTGAGGATGACTTTGGCTTTTTTGCTGAACTGTTCGTCCATTGTAGAGTAGGTATATTCCTACCCGGTGCGAGTTGGCCACCTTATCAGCACTGTGATTCACAAAATCTGAGACTTTCTTTATGAGAGTCTCAAAACAAGAATGAAAACCTCCAATGTCACGAGAACGAATATGATATCACAAGAATGAAAAATATCTCTAACAATACCGAAACCGTTTATTATGCTCCGCGTCTTGTCCCACCACATACAAAACTATGTTCTACTACCCTTCAGACAGACGTCGCCTACATGTCAGTCTTCGCAGCTTCCTCTCATTTAACGCCTCCCCCCAAAATCGAAATTAATGACGTACAAACACTCCCGGATTCGAGTCCTATAACTATAAAGGCGAGATATGGATTTGGTCGCTGTGTAACATTACACTCAACTCTCGATCAGATAGCTGCCTCCACTGGATACGAACACATATTTAAGCTCAAAACTACCACATCTTTACGGAAGCTATTCTATGTCTATGCCGAGACTATCGGAAAGGAAGTAGATGAATTAAAGTAGGTAACAATTATAATTCCGAGGTGTTACTCATGTTTGAATGGTAGATTTATATACGAAGGACAACGTCTGAACCCCCACAACACGCCAAATACGTATGAGATGGAGAACGGAGGTACACTCGACACCGTAAAATATAACTATATTGATGTCATCAGATACGATCGATGTCATGCTCGAATGTAAGTACGCCATTGTCCTTGAAAGCAACATCGCACAGATGCTCCTCTGTTCAGAAATTGGAGGACAAATGCAAAAAACAGAGTTTGAAGTTTGAAAGATAAAGCTTTTTGTACTTGTATTTTTCCATCCACATTTTCAATGAACATGCATAATGCTAACATACCCTGCATGCTGCGAAAAAAAAATCAGAAAGAGGTTATGTAAGGTAGCGGGCTTTGCCGCTCGCGGCCTTACTCGTTATTTCATATGGCTCACGCGCATCCCGGAGCGCTTCATTATGATTCTTTTCCGAATAGTCAGTGACCAATTTCCAATGCCCCTTGCATCTTTTTGACTTTGCTCAGATCTTTTACTGGCTCACAATGGCACGTTGGCCCTGGCCCCGCCCGCCTCACGTACGGCTGCGCCTGTCCCCTCTTTCGCTGCCACTCAGCCGTATCAAATCCGTGGTCGTCGTCCACGGAACCCCTCCACCATATTCCGGGATATATTCTTCGCTACATACAAGGTCCTTCTTCCAAGTAACGAAGCTGAAGTCAGCCGACTCGCTAGCGACGCTTGGCATGAACTTTCAGAGGAGGAACGGCTCTTCTACAAAACGATAGCTAAGTTGGAGAAAGAGGCGTATGAACTTGGAAAGTCTACTCACGCGTTGCAGCGTCGCGGTTCTACTGGGGATAAGGGCTCGAAGAACGACGGAGGGCGCAGGATGATCCCTTCTCTGTCGGTAGCCAATCTACCGTACGGGTCAGTTGCCCAAGGCATGGATGCACAATCTTTCTTCTACCGTACTCCCACTGCTGCGCCTGAGATCCCTCGTATTCAATATCCCCCTTTTTTCATGACGAACACTGATACGATAACCCACGATGTCCACGCGACTCAAGGACAAGGCATGACTGACGTCCAGCACGGGCGTGCTACACAGAGCATGCAAACTTCTCAGCAGTGGCCGCCTGTCCCTGCTGCCTTTGCTGAGAGTTCTGACTCATCAGATCCATAACCCTGTTTTCCTACTACCACGACGTCTCCGCCAAGTTTCGCAGTAATAGAAACCAAGCTGTGATCCCCAATATCTTCCTTCGCTCCTGCTGCTGCGCCCGTGCGGTCATCGCCCGAACTTTCGTTGATTCACATCTTCTCTGTATTGATAACCTGCCTCTTACATGATAGTTTATAGCCAACCACTGCATCGTTTACCCAGTCACCAAGCATGACGGGAACACATACAACCACAACAACGGCTGGGGAGAGCCTTCGACCACGTATGCATCCTCTTCGTCCTTCGCGGAAATAGGATCATCCAATCACGACGCAGGGGTCCAACAACCATGGAAGAGCGCCCACCCATGATGGAGGACCATCCACTTATTATGAGCTCCCTGCTGAGAACACTTGGGATGGTTATACGGTCAGCATCAGCTGTGATCGTCAGTCTACAATAGACAACCATCCTGAGCGCCAGTTCTTCTCTTTTTGATATGGTTTCATGATTTTTTATACCCGGTCATACAGCTCTGTAGCATATATTATTTCTCCGCGTGCAGTTCCAGTCTTGATAGTCACCAATAGACCGAACGCCCTGTACGTATATAAGATGCCTCTCTTGTACTCTTCATCTTGTCGAGTTGTAATAAAACAGACATCTGCTAGGTTTTCGACTTCGGTGCTAGTGAGTATTCTTACGGTATGATCCAAAGCCGATTTGCGGGCGCTAAGTCATTACTCCATCCATCACTCGTGCTGCCTTTACAGCCTTGAAGACGCGACGCCGTAGCAAATCGCCGCATACATGATGCTCATAATCGACTTCACCATCGGCAGATGTCCGCATTATACAAATACCAACAGTTGGATATTGGCAGGATGCAGATGCTATTCGCCATAAAGGTGAGGGCCGGATCTGCAGCGAGATTCCTGTCTTTCATCGGTAATGGTCGACAACCAGTGGGACGCGAGAGGTAAGATACTCTAAAAGTCGAATATATCTATAGCTGGCAGATACAAATACAGTATTCTACAAAGAAAAGGAATGTAAACAGATGAACGGGTTTCGCGGGAGATAGAGAATGATTCTACGCCACGTATACCAAGGCGTCCCCTCCTCGTTTGATATATTCTTCTCGAGAAGGATAGTCACAAAAACCTGATTCAGCGATGGGTGGAACTCAAGACGATACGCGAGATATCAAGCGGAACGTACCTTTCGGATAATAGCAACCTGCAAATTACTTCGCATTTTGTTCACTGTGTTTTGAGATGTTATGTTCTCATCAGGTTCACAACTTCCGTATTAACGAATCATGAAAATGACACGGATGCATTATACTTGCTGTCTAATCTGCAGTGTTCGCTGACAGCAGTACGTATTTCATCCCCCTATGCCCCGGCCGTACTTGTGGCTCGCCTTGGGTGACCGTGTTCAACGGTCTTGAAGATCCTCGTCGGCTTCTCATAATTCGATATTAAGGAACAAGTGTAAAAGTTATCGGGCTACAGGCCGACTCGTAACAGGTATATATCTCCCACGGCATTTTTAAGCGCCAACGCCAACAACTTGATTCATGTGATTCAAGAGGGCGTTCCTTAATACCTCACCCGAACTTCCATTATATGCTAATACACTCAAGTCTTCCACATCACGGTCAAGCTTATCAATGTATTCGGCTGCCCCGGAAAGATGCGCGACCTTGGCACAAGCAGCATGCAGACTGAGGAGTGTCTCGGATGGACGGGCAGATTCTCTTGATCTGGGGTGGTGAATGTTACCTCCGCCGGTAATCGCCGTCGGTACTTAGGATAAAGATTTTGTAGTTTGTAACAATTTGGGGTTTTCTGAGTAGTGGAATCAGTAAGACCACCAAAAAGTAATAGCGTAATGCGCACCGTCTTCTCAAACCAGATTTCCAAGCGATCAAACCAGTCGTGGACCATTACCTTCCATGGTCATGACATTGTAAAGAGAATGTACTTTAGTACCATTGGTTTGTTCAATGTCGTAGCCGAAACGCTTTAAAACTGCTAGCACTGAAGCGGCATAGTCGAGCTGGCAAGGATAAGGACATCAACAATGTAGAAAAACAGACAAAGGCGCACCTTTGTGTTGCTCGGGCCTTGGTCAGATACGTTAAAATACGTGGATTCCGGCACAATGTGTGCGCACCGTGTGTAACACGGTGCCTGCTTCCCCAATTTCGTCGGTGGAAGCCGAAGTTTCTTCAACTGTGTTGTGATCATAGGAGCCGGTCACTACACACCGAAACCCGTCTCGGACAAGAGCCTGGAAAAGGCAGGGAAATGTGACTTCTCTCAGGAGAGTGGCATGCACGTCGCCACTTACGAGATCCTTTGCTTCTGTATGGGGATTTGGTGCCTCCCGAATTTTAGACCTCAAATCCCTCTTGAGTACATCAAACGACGGGCGTGACGGATGATCTGAGGGGGCGGGCGTCCGACCTTTGAACTTCTTGACTGAGAGCCGGTTTCATATCAAGACTAGGCTTATCGCACCATGAAGGAGAACTTACAGGGACGGATGAAATAGTTGAGGAAAGTCTGCCCGAGTTGGGACAGCTTTGCGTGGTCCTGTGCGCACGAATGTATCACCTTGACGACTTCATGACGCGCGGAGGGGGGGGGGAATGGATAATCAAGTAGCCCAGTATCCTTGCGTGCATCAGCGCAACGCTACCGGCTGGGGCCGACTTCTCAAACTCGAGACAAATGTTATAGCACTGATGCCATTTTCATTCAGGCCATTTATGGTTTCGACGGGAGGGAGTGCAGCAGCAGGCATGATGGTAGGTTCGTTCCAAGCTCTTCTCTCATTGGCTACTTTTGTTTGACGACGCTTTATGTTTGGATTGTGTGGTCGCGGCAAGCTGCATCCGAGAAGGCTTGCTGCAAGATGGTATATCTCATACACCATCTGCGCGAAGCGTCGTTCTCCCTCTTCTCGTTGTTCATCCACACTGTCAGTGAGGGTTATTTGTAGATTGGAACTGTATTGACCTCTGATAAAATATTTTGGCTTAAAGCACTCTTTACTATTGATATTTCGCCCCAGAAAAGTCTTCAACCCATCAAAAATCCATCAGAGCCTTGAAGCTTCATGAAGCCTTGAGTGCGGCGTATTTCTTAGGTGCGAGTTCAACGCAATTGGGTATTTATACTAACATTTTAGCCTTGTTATGGCATACATTTCTGCTCATCAGTGACGCTCCTTTTCCATCTCAGCACGCCCTTCATTATTGGCACATCATCATGCAGCATCAATGCATCATGCCTCCAACCCTGCGACCCAAAACCCCCACCAAACCTTTAACTCGCACTCCAGGAACTCAGAGACGTCATAAGTATCCTCCAAAACGTCCTCAAGGAATTAAGAGCCGGTCCCTAGGCCCCAGAACCCGACATGCAATCAAGGGGGTATCACTGAACATCTGCGCACCCGTTTCCATCTGCCGTACAACCCCGACGACTGGCAGCCCCATACTGTACAGCGCGTACTACATGCATACGACTCTATCTTCTGCGCAGGTACAGGCTACGGCAAAAGTCTGGTGTTTCAAGCGTTGGCATCGTTGGGTGGGAAGGGCAAGCTTGTAATGGTCATAAGTCCTTTGAAGGCATTGGAACGTGGTCAGGTGCGTTTCTATGCAAAGCCTTCTTCAACGGTATGTCTAAATAGACTTCTGACAGGTTGAGGAACGCTCAGGCAAAGGGTATAGTAACCATTCCTGTGACCTGGAGTCTTTGGGACGAGCTTCGGTCAAAGGCACGTGGGCGATTCGAACTTGAGATTCTCGTAGTTGCTTGCGCGCTTCCACCTTCTATTGTATGTCGCGCAGAGTAAAAATATTAAGTATTTGCAATGTCAAAGCACCAATCCCAACAAATGTTTACACCTTGACGCATCCTGGTCTCCTCTCTTGTCAGTTTTATTTTGATCTACGTGCCTGAGTTGAACTTGAAGCATCTCAGAAAGAACGTAAACAGATGAACGGGTCTCGCTGGAGAGAATAATTCTACGCTACGTATCAAGGCGTCTCCTTCTCTTGTGAGGTATTCTTTCTCGAGAAGGATGTCAATAGCCTGATTCGGCGACGGTGAAATCAAGACGATACTTGAGATACCAAGCGGAACGTACCTTTCGGATAATAGGAATCTGAGGTGTGAATCGTTGGGAGACCTGTTCAACAACCTCCTGGACAAGTTGTTGGTTCGTCATCGACTTCTGTGCCTTCATGATCCTAGAAGAAGAAAAGACTGAGGTTCCAAAACCCTGATACAAAGCAGTCGACATACCGGACAATGGTAGCTTGGATAGCATACTTCCGATCCTCCTCCACGGCTCTCATCACCTCTGTTTGTCCAGATCCTTCGGCCTTGATAGGCTGATTCACATTGACTCGGATCTTCTTCGACTTGAAACCTAGAAAACTCAAATCAGTCGATGACAGCGCACCCAACTTGAACTCACTGGAGTTAAGACCGTACTGCTCAGACTCTTCGTCGACGAGGATCCTCGCATTGACAAGGACGGCAAGGACTTGGGTAATGATCTCCTTCGGAATCGATGTCGCCGTGATGAGCTCAGACAAAGAAAGCAGATTGTGACTATTATAGAGAAGCAGGATAGCCATCTGATACGAGCTCGTCATCAAGATATACCTCTGGTCAAGGTAGTTCGTCCGGAGCTCGTTCCTCGAGTAATTCCACAGCCAAGTCAGCTTCCGGCCCGAATGTCTCATCTGGTAGTATTTCTGGAAGCGCTCATATGTGGGATATATCTCCCTTGGGATGGGTGAATCCATGCGACGGACGATGTAAAGGCCAAGAATTCGAACCGAGGACCATGATGCTGAATGTCGCGTCATTGAACTGCTTCGTTAGATCCTGACTCACTGTTGCGTCTGTACACAAAGGATTAGCAATATCTATATGACTGAATATTATTGAGGACATACCCGTTAACATCTGCCGCAACTTGCTGGTATATTCGGCGCCACAGGCCTTTCCGAGTCTGGAGATCATGTCAGCTTCCCTTTCATCGGAAGCCGACACGCCGTATATAAGACGTTTCGACAGCCTCGCAGCATAAAAGTGCGAAAAGACATCCTTATCCTCTAAGTAATTGAAGACAGTCATCTATGGGTGTATCAACCAACATACGTTTCCCAAGATGCAACACGAACGCACCAAACGATCCAAGGCTCCCTCTATGTCTGCTCCTTCTGTTGAGTTGTCCTTTCGGAGTGACCGATCTGCGTATCTGACCAACAAGTCTGGCGATTTACTGCTCATGGTCGCCGTCATCGAATTTTGGTTAATGAAGGCTATGCACGCCTTACTCAGACTGCCAACAAATCCAACATCTCCATACAGATGCTGCGTCACGATCGCCGAATACTTGGTGTGGACCTCCAACAACGCATCAAGGTATGCCTTTGGATCCAGCTCCGCGTCGTTTACGACAAGTGTGGAGACGGCATCGAGGCCAGCCTTCTCAACTTGCCGCTCGAATTTATCCCTGAGACG